AACTAATGTAACGTCGTATGGTGAGTTTTTGTTCGTATCGTGGAGCAAAAATATGTTCGAATTTCATGTCGTATCCTGAAAATTTCGTATACTGGGGCGTTCGTAACCTGAGGTACCACTGTAATTATTATTTTCCTATTTATTACTGTGTTATCCAATACTTGCCATAATTTTTTAATTGGTATACTATCATATACCAATAAATAATAATTGTGGAGTTTGATTCTAGCAACTTTTTTCTCAATTTGTCTAACACAGAAAATATGATCAAGTGTGGATCTTCCACTCCTAAAACCTGTGTTCTTCATTTTCCATATCTTTGTATTCCTCTTCTAGGTAATATTTTAATAATTTTCCATATATCCTGCTGAATGTACATGTAACAGTAATACCTCTGTAATTCTTACACTCATCTTTTTTGCCTTTTTTGTATATTGATGACAGATATCCAACTTTCCAGTCTTGTGGGATATCTTCTTCATTTATACATCATTCCATTAAGTTTTTGCAAATTCGAAGTATTCTATCAGATCCACATTTAATTAGCTCTGCTGGTATTTCACCAATGCCACTAGCTTTATTATTTTTTAAAGATTTAATTATACTTTCAAAAAGTTTCATATCTATCTGAATATAGTCATCTTTCATATTATCTCATACATCCTCATTCTCTGTATTATAAATCATATATTAATTTCTGTTTTCTGTTAAAAGGTTATTAAAAATATTCTTCCCATTTATTTAGTGATATATACTAAATAGTATTGGTTCTCTATTATCATTTCTTAAATTTTTTAAAATACTCCATGCTTCAGTATTTCGTCTTCCACCTACATAAGTTTGCAAGTTCTTACAAACTTTCTCCCAATTGTTATTCTTTTCTTATGATACTTTTCTCTTAATAACAGCTTGAAGTTTCTTATACTCTATTTTATCTTCTATATTTTTTGTATTTAACTATTTTAAATATAAATTTCTCTTATTTTTCACCATTTCTGCTATTTCTTCATTCCAATAATACATTTTTGTCTTACATGTTCCTGATTTAACTTCTCTTAATGCTTCTTTAGCTGTTTCATGTATACTCTGCACTATATGATTGTATTGTTCTTGTACTGTATCAAAGTAGGTCTCCTCTAATTTATCATCTAGTCATTTCTGGTACAATAGTTGAGTACTTTCATTTTGTAAAGAGAGTAGATTATATCTTTGAATTTGTAATTCTGTCCCTTCTAACTCATTATTGATAATAGTGTCAACTTTAAAGTATGGAAAATTTATTTTACTATTAATCACATAATGATCATGTCCACAATCAATCCATCTAAAAACTCTGACATCTTGGACCAATAGTGCAGTATTCTGTTACACAACGATATAGTCCAATATTGATTTTGAATTCAACATGTCTTAATGTCAAGTGTATTTATGTATATCTTTATGTTGGAAATACCCATTTGTTATTTTTAATGATTTCTGCATACATAGTTCAATTAATGTTTCACCATTATCAGTTATTATATCCTCTCCAAAAGGTCCAACTATTTGGTTATTATGTTTTTACCAGTTTGGCCATTAAAATTTCTCTATTGTTGCCAATATTACTTATTAGAGTATTTAATTTTTAAAAAAATTCATTTTTATCTAATTTATTTTCACTGTCACTTAAAGCATATAGTCCCAAAATTGTAATATTTCTACCAAATAGAGTTAAATTAATTTTAATCATATATTCATTTATTGCTTCCCAAGATGTAACATTTTTCTTATATTTCATCAATATCAGAACAGAAACTCCTCTTTTTGGTCTAATATCTTTTGGTACTCCACTGTAAAAATATAGACATATATCCTCTATAGCCACTCCCTGTTCCTTCTTTTTGGTTTCTGTTAATACAATAATATCCTGTTGTATTCTGTTTAATTCCAAGATAATTAGTCCATTTTTATTATTAATACTTTGCACATTCCATGTTCCTATAATCATTGTCCTTTTCCGTAGCCTTTGTTGTCATCCTGAATATCAAGCTGGCTTATTTCTGTTGGGATTTTTAGCATTTAAATTTTTTCTGAGAATGGGAGAGCTGGCCCCATGTCTCAACCTCCAACCTGTAGGCTGGAATTTATAATCAAGGTTTACTCCTCTAGGAGAGTGGCTGTCACCATCTGCGAGTCCCTCCTAAAGTATTAATCTCACAAAATGTAAATAGACACCCACAATTGCTGTAAAAAATCAAGCTATATTTTGGAAATATTAATTATGAATTACAAATAAATTTGGCACTAGAGGGGGGTGTTAAGCACCATAATTAAATAATTATAATATTTAATTAATTTTAGAATAAACTGGAAGAAAAGAATTGGCCTGAAGCAGGACTCAAACCTGCAACTCCCGTGCAACTTACCATGTGATTATTTATGGTAATTGTGGGTGTCTATTTGCTAAGAGTCAGGTTTCGGTAGATGTTTATATTTGTATCTCACAAAACGTTTAAAGTATTTTCAAATCGTTGGAACAAACAGACTTACCATTCAAAACTTTACATTCGAATTCTAAAATCATGTTTCTTTATCAGACATACAAATTATTTTTTTTTCCTTTGTATTTTTAACTCTCACTGTGTAGGCTTGTAAACTGAGCACTGTCATACTGAATGCTACAAAACAACAAATGAAGGTTGCTATGGTAAATAAGTAAAATTTGTTAAATATGTAATCAATTAAATTTGTCAAGTATTTTCCTTTTTTAAATCAGTAACTTATAAAGGAATGCACAGATTACTTGAGAGCATGTATTATTCAAGTAAATTCAATAATTGATCTATCCTTAATTTTAAAATAATTTGAAAAAGAAAGAAACTTTGACAATGAATCCTTTTTTCTTTCTTTCAATATCATATTTTCATAGTTACTTTATTTTTTCAAATCTACCATATATTTGCACTGAAAATATTTTTATATCCATCATGTGTTCAGTCAAGTCCACGATGGAATAGTCAAATTCATGATGAGCACAGATAATAATAAGCTTAACATATATGAACTGATTCAGATATGTTAAGCTTATTTCTGAACTGATTCAGATATGTTAAGCCTATTTCTGAACTGTTCCGTACTCAAATCTCAAAGAAGTAGATCATTGTCTTTATGGCTTCAGTCATCTGACCATCTTGTAGTTTTTTGTTTATCCCCAAATGGAAAGGATGAAGAATGTGAAAATGGATGTAAGACCCATGAACTCTAAGTTGAAATTTATAATTTTAATTAGATACTTTTCTGATAGATATATTAAACTTTTTCATATGCATTTTTCGGGAAACGGATAAAAATAATAAAATTCAGCAAATCTTTACTTAACATTATAGATAGGTTGTTGGAAATTGCAATGTTAACAAAGCAATGTATAATAAAATCAATTTTACCATAGTTAAATGATATAAATAAGACATATTTCAGTTATCACTATTCTAATAAGATTGTGTTTGCAACTTCTAGCATTTATTTTCCACCACATAGAATCAATTTTACTGTTTATAAAGAAAATTCAACAATAATAATTGTAAATGATTACAAATGTACTTGTAGAGCAGTGGTTCTTAACCTTTTAGTGATGAGGGACCATTTATCAAAATTTTTGTCTTGCCATGGACCATCAGCTGTTTGGCAGTAATATAGGTTCTTATAGGGTTGTTCTATAAATTAAACACATAGGAAATTATTCGGAACCAAGAGTCTTATATTATTTGCGAAAGTGTTACATTAATTATATTATTTTAGTGCAAATTTTGTGACTGCCAAGAACTCAGCTGTTTACCAACTGCTGAATTCTTGGTTCAGCACTACTCAAAGCAAATGCATGTCGGCACTGGCATCCAACTGATTTTGATTTTTATTTTTAATTATCAAAAGCACTGAGAATCCTTGCTCGCATAAATATGTGATTGAAAATAAAGTTAGGTACTGTAAAGCAATTTCTCGAATTTTAGGGAAAGCAATAGCTTTTTGGCTTCAAAAATCTTTAAGGTAAATTCCTGTCTCGAATGTATCCTTGCAGTTACTATCATGTTGCATTTCAATTAACTCTTCTTGTATTTCATCCAGCACCTCAGAAATGTTGACTATGAAAGGATTGCAAATCAGTTTCCGAATACCTTTGTCCTTGCAGTCAGAAAATAGTGATTAAATTCATTTTTCAAGCTTTGCAAATGGAATGTAATGTTTTTTTGTATTTCTCCTTTAATCTCGGCACACTGTCAATCAATAATTGGGTTCAATGTATCAAATGCAGAAAAATTCTCTCTTTCAACTTTGCTGATCCATAGGTCGATTTTAGCGATAAACGCACTGATTTTATCATCAAATGCAAATTTATTGCTAGTGCCTTCCAATTTCATATTTCCTGACCACACGCCATACCCCAGCCCAGTCCGCTATCGGCTCTAACCTTCACATACCACGCATTGTCATCAACTCATCGTCATTTATTTAATAATTTTGGGATAACTTCACGGACCACTTCGAGTGCTTTCAGGGACCACCAGTGGTCCATGGACCACAGGTTAAGAACCACAGTTGTAGAGGCACAATTAATAAATAAGGCAATAAATAAGGTTAATAGCACCGTTAACTTGAACTTTTATCTTCACACTATTCTAAGTTAATAGTTGCGATCAACTAATTTATTAAACTGTCATGATATTACTTAACATTAACTTGATATATTAAAATTGATAAATTAAATATTTATGAAACATTTTATAACTTATTTTCATAATATCTGTAAATTCACACATAAATAAATTGTAACCACAATACAATTGAAAAAAAAAAAAAATTAAACACCTATGAATAAAACAATGTGAATTCATTGTGTAATATAATTTGTTTTAAAATAATGCATCCTGTGCATAGGTACATTTACATTATTTAACATTATAGCAATTATCAAACACCACAAAAGGGAAAGTGAGCAAAACCACAAAGCCCATGCAACAGCATACCTGACAGCAATAGCCTTTCAGAATCAGACCCAGTAGTCTTGTTCATCACCGAGGAACCTTGTCTTTTCTGGCTAACACTTGTAAGAGGTTCAGTTCTCAGGCGAGAGGTTCTAGTGGCACGGGTTGTGATGGCTGATTTTCTCATGCTTTGATTAGGAGGCTTATTAGTAAGGGTAGGAGAGGCTAAATTAGTGCGGGGAGGTCGAGATAAAGCAGACTGAGATTTACTAGCAAGCTGGGAACGAACAGCCAAATGTGTCATGCTTTTAGACATCCCACTACCAAGTGCATTACTGTTATTATTAGGATATTGCTTATTAAAATGAATTGAAAGAAAATGATTGGAAATGTTATGCATGCTTTTGCTCATACTTGGTGGAGTTGTGCGAGGGCCATCAACAGGAATTAAGTTGTTTATACCCGTGGCACTCTCTTTGGAGGCCTCGACGTATCGACGGCGTGGTTGTGCTAGTTGATCAAGTCGCGTCATGCTCACAGCACGCTTTCCGTGATTACCTGGAGAACGACTACGAGAGATGATTTGATCCCTAGGCATTACTGGCATTAAGTCAGTTTTCCTTCTTGCTCTAGAAGTTGATGACAATGATATCATACTACGAGACATGGGATCATCTCCTGATAATATAGAATAAAAAAGAAAAATGTTTATAAATTAATTTATTAAATTATAAAAATACTAAACAACATATAAATATACTTATCAAACTTTTGTTAAATTAAATTTATTATACAAATTTAAATCTTTTAAAGATCATTTAATAAATTATTCATTTTATTAACAAATGTTTTCTACAATATTTAAATTTTATATATGTTATTTTATATCTTTTTAAATAAAAAACTTTATATAAACATTGCATCCTATATATATAATAAATTAAAATAANATTATAAAATTTATTTATTTGCACATGCTGGAGAAATGAACAGGTCTATGAAATATACCCACATTTAAAGATAAAGTAAAATCCCTCATGCCAGGTGAACATTTGTAAAATTTATTTCCATGCTCTTTCCATTCCCAATAACATTGTTATTCAAAGGTTAGTAATATTGTATAACCAACTAAATGAAAATTATGAGAAGCATTTGTTAAAATATTAACAGCAGAGAATTATTCAAATCCTAACATGCTATTGCACTTTTAAAGCTTTCTTTGTTTAAAATAAATAAGTTTAAAAGTTATCAGTCAGTTAAAAAATCATTAATTCTGGCTAATGCCATGCATGAGTTTATATATTAGCTAGCAATCACCATTAAATCAATCTATAAAATTTACTTATTTCCTCAATTAAAACTGTAGACTTTTGATGATAACAGTCAAATGGCAATAAAAGTGAAGCATACAATTAAAGTATCGTTAACAAATTTATTATCATTTGAAAAACAACAATCTATCTATGCAAGAAAAAAAATTTAAAAATCTAACTAAAAGAATAGAAATATTTTTTTATTTCAATAGAATGACTTTGTAAATAATAATAAAAACTTATTCAAATACTTTTTAATGAGTTGCTTCTAAACAATGAATATTTTTAATGTAACACAAATTAATTTTCTGTTGTAAAGATAATTAGTGAAATTAAATATGTAGTACACAGCAATAAATTTTCAAAAAGTACTATTTAAATAATTAAGGTACAAGGTAATTGTTTCTACAGGACCACTTAACTAATGAGAGAGAACAAACTAAACATTTTTATATTAACAGAAATCTACAAGAATATGGTTTACAGAACATTTTTATTCATTAAATATACTACTATTTACCTATTTCGTTTTGCTTGTTTGTTATAATTAGTTTATTGAAAAATCTATGGCAATAAAATTATAATTTATCTTTAGTAATGTAAGAAAAACATACAGTCAATCCCTGACTTATGAGCATTTATACTTATGACAACTGAAACTAGTATATTAAGAAAATTATTTTTGAGTCCACAGAATTAAATGCATTCACTAATGGCACAGTACAATAATTAAATGTTAAATAAAATACTGTAACAGGAAATTCTCTATATATAACATAACTCAAGTTTGTGTCATTAGTGAGGTTGTGGCCAAAGTTTTCAATGCAAAAACATGAACATTGGATGTTCAGTGCCACCCTCTTGTAAACTTAGAAGTTTGACAGCATTCGGAATGTCAATGGAATAGAAAAAAAGGTATTTTAATATCCTTATTAATAAAGGAATGGCTTTTAATTATGGTGGTATGGTATACAATGGCACTGCAACGTATATAAATAATATTAAGCAAGAGGTATCTAATATGGTTTATGGTCTTTCGCAAGACCAGCAGAACAGGTCCAATAAAGTGAGAATCACATATGGTTTCTTCCCTAATATAAATAATAGGTTAAAGGCTAAATGAATAGAGCCTGATTATTATGCCACACAGATTCTTTGTGGGAATGGTGATTTTATAGTAAATTAAATTTGTTCCACCTGGTTGAGGATGACCACTGTGAGTGCAGTGCCATCAACACCCTCCAGCATTTTATATTGTGTTTTATTTTATAATGAAATTGAGGAAATAAAAGGTATTTTAAATATTAACTCCTCTCAAATTGATTTTAGTATGGTCTGCACCAACTTAATGTGCACAAAAAGTTATTTATAATGGTGCTTTTAATTTATGCTTCTAACACAATAAAGTGTTATAAATTAAGACACATGGCGGGTTTTCCCATCATTCTCATCAGAATTGCAAGTCTGGACATAATTGATATGTACCCTTCCATAATATGGGAAATAATTGAACCAAAGCTGACACAACTTAAAATTGAACCTGAAATAATAGACCTAATCGAATTTACCTACAGAAGCAACTACTTTGAAATAAACAGTAAATATTACACACAGAATAGTGGAATTAGTATGGGGTCCGTAATAGGACCGAAACTAGCAGAGATCATAATGATAGATATAGACAAAGAAATAAGTGACATATATGGTATAAAGTTCTACAGAAGATACGTAGACGATGTCCTAATAATATATGATGAAGTCGAAATTAACACTACTAAAATCAGAAAAATAATAAATAATATCCATAAAAATATTCAATTTAAAATAGAAGAAGAAGATAAAATTACCAACAGCATAAATTATTTAGATATTACAATTAAAAGAAATAATACAAATCTCGAATTTGAACCGTTTAAAAAGCAGTGCTCAATAAATACCACAGTTAACTATAATTCTAACATACCACTTCATATAAAACAAAACATATTTAATATGGAATACACTAAAATCAAAAATAGAACTAGTATAAATACTAAACAAATCGAACATTTAAATACACTAAAGAAAAAATTTATTCTTTCAGGATACCCAAACAGAATCCTTAATATTTGGGAAAAAGAAATAGATAAAAAAACAGATAAAACAATAAGAATAGATCCTAAACAAGCCGAAATAAAATACATTCGTTTCCCATATATAAAAGGTCTATACGAAGAAGTTAATAAAGAAGTCAAAAAAATTAATGTAAAACTAGTACCGACATACGATAAGCTAATCTCCAGATTAAATGCAAAACAAGTTAACAAAACAAATATAACAAAGAAAGAAGAAAGTAAAAATGTAGTCTATAAAATTCCGTGTACATGCGAAAATAAAAAATTTTATATAGGTGAAACTAAACGTAAAGTTAAAGTAAGATTGAAAGAACATATAGCTGATTTGAAATATCGTAGACCAAATTCTGCTTTTCATGAACACTGCCTTTTAAATAATTGTAATATAGACAAAAATAATATAGATATTTTACACAGAGAAAAAGATACATATAAAAGAAAATTCAAAGAAAGTATAGAAATAATCAAAAATCAAAATAGTATAAATAAAAATCCTAGCATCTCTATAAACGAAAACTGGTTAAAATTTTTATATTGATTGTATTCACTGGATTCAAATTATTATTATTGTGATCAATGTGCTAAATAATAATTATTGAACTGTTAAATAAATCAATAACAAAAAACTGTAATGTCGTAATGGGAGTCAAATAATATGTAAATCTACATTAAATGTTAATAATGTTTACCAACTTCAAGACATTGTAATATCAATAGTTCAAATAATAATCTATAATATTAAATATTAAAATGTTAAATAAATCAACAATCATACATTGTAAAAAATATAGTAGATGTCAGATATGTAAATTTATATTGTAGAAGTTATGTAAATTCGTATTATATTGTGAATGTGTATCAAAAGAAATAAGGATTTTGTAGAAAGCATAATCAATTGTAAACCAATTTGATAGTTGTTGTCCAGTGTATGTTTATATCAAGAATATGTTTTATAGTTTATATTGGTTATATAATAAGTTTATGTCCAGAATATGTTTTATATCAGGGATTTTGTAGAACTGTTTTGTAAGTGAAAGGTACGTTTTATATTTTTATGATTTCTACAATACTTGTGTTTTTATATGTATGTTATATTCTTTTTTAATGTTTTAGTTGGCTGAAGAGGGGCTTAAGAGCCCGAAACGTGTAAAAATTTTCACACGTATCAACTAAATAAAGATGAGAAAACCCGCCATGTGTCTTAATTTATAACACTTTATTGTGTTAGAAGCATAAACAAATTGTAAAGCACGGTTTCATATCATCAAAATAAGAAGGTGCTTTTAATATTTTAGAGTATACAGTGGTACCTCAGGATACAAAATTAATCTGTTCCGAAACTGAGATTGTATCATGAAAATGTCGTAAGGTGAATAATTTTCTCCCATATGATTATATGTAAAACCAAATAATTCGTTCCAATGTGAAAAACATACTCAAATTAAAGCTAAGTAGTACATTAAAAAAAAAAAAAACTATAGTAAGGAAAACACTGAAAAATGAATTTTGTAGTTGTAAATGTATAAATAACCATAATAGAATAATAACTGATAAAAAAAATGTAGTTTTATTTGCACTTTACCTTTGAGGATAGACGACGGTGGAGGTGTAAAATGATGGCGAAAGAGAGGGAGAAGGGAAATGATACTAAAACTTAACTTACATAACATAATGTAACAATAACTTAAAAGTAACTTAGAAAATATTAAAAAATTAGTATTGTTTTATATATATATATATTTTAATTTTTTATTCACTGCACTAATTTTTTGCTTTCTTTCCTTCACTTCCACCAGCACTTTCACTGCATAGAGGTCACTTGGTAAAATATCTATCCAAAGAGGTGCTTTTGCCTACTTTTTAAAATGTTTCTAAAATTACTTAGGCAAATGTCATTACTTTGAGCAGCAATACAGCTAGTGTGAACCTTTTTGGGATGTTTCTTTTCAATAAAATCAGTCACTTTCTGATAATACCTCAAGATGTCCTTTATCAAGCGAGATCCTTCCACGACGAAGCAAACACACAGACTGAGACCAATGAACAGAAGTGAATAAAAGATGGCATTGCGAACTAATGTAACATCGTATGGTGAGTTTTTGTTCATATCGTGGAGCAAAAAATATGTTCGAATTTCATGTCATATCCTGAAAATTTCATATGCTGGTGCGTTCGTATCCTGAGGTACCACTGTACTTAAAAAGCATGTGGTTTTTAGGATTGGTGTTTAACCCAGGTTTTTATTTATATTGATTTTATGGTTTTATGGTACATAGTATATATGGTTTTTACGTTATATTGACGTATTGTATACTATATGTTGTATGATCCCATGGTTTTAATACTAATGTGGGGTTCTACTATACCTTATTGTATGGTATTTTAATGGGACGGTAAACCCATTAAAATATCCATATTCCGGCATATAAGACGACTTTTTAACCCAGGAAAATCTTCTCAAAAGTCGAGGGTCGTCTTATAGGGCGAGTATATCGCAAACTTTATATTTTAACTGTAAAAGTCAGGAATCGTCTTATACGCCAGAATATAGGGTATATATATTTATATAGCATATATGGTTCTATATATATATATACAGTAAAACCTGTCTATAGCAAATACCCATAGTTCCTTCAAAAAGTGGTCTTTTAGACAGGTGGTTGTCCAATACAGGTGGTCCTGTAATAACGTATTTTGTGCACTTTTTAGCCATTTCTACTAAAAAGCAAAACTTGAGGTGAGCAAAAATAAACGATTTTTTTCAACAATAGAGCTATATTAGTATTGTATTTTATTCTTATTGGATAACCCAATTTACAGGAGTCGTCATGATATTATAAGACAGATATCAATATTTTAAAGATTAATACAATACTCACATTTTCTTGAGTATAATGCACACTTTCTTTTTTCCGACTTAATTAATTCAACTTGGTTCTTTTTGTTTGCTCCTCATTTATGTGTATTAAGTCATCAATATATAAGCGCATCCTATCTCTCCATCACTTTGGTTTTCATTAGTTTAATCTTATTTTAACTTTAAAAATACTGTATTTTTTTAATATTTAATATTTTCTTAACTACAATATGAAAAAATATTAATTAATAATAAAATGATTTTATTATTTTTTCTCATATGATTTAATGACAATTGTGGAATCAAGAAAGGAAGGTTGCCTGTAAAACTGATTTTTGCATTAATGCATTTATTGTTTTTTTGAATATCTTGCATGCAAAAATTACTTGGATATTATTTTTCTAAAAATATCGTGGAAGTAAGGTAGGTTGATACAGAAACTATTTATCGCACATGTACTGTATATAAACTTTAAACAAAAAAAAAATTAATAATAATAATAATAAAAAATAAATAAATAAAATAAATTTTATCAAATGATGAGATCAGCCAATTAATTGTATTGTGTACAATATTTTANATTTTTAAACATATTTCTAAAGATTTTTACAGAAACTAGATTCTGTACGATGCTCGAAACTATGAATCCAATAGGTAGAAAAAATCAAACACTATTTAAGATAATTTCTAAAGAGGACTGCACATTCATAAGTTAATATAATGAATAATTTAAGAGTGAGAAGCAAAGCCAGCTGACTAAACAGTAATCAATAGTCGATCGATCGTTATATCCAAGTGACGGCCAAGAACTCTAGAACAATAACCGTAAAAAGTCTTGTTTTATTACAAGACTGAGGTAAAATCGAACCGAGTAGACTCTATGTATTGTAGCATGCACGACCTGTTTCTTTATATGAAAATATCGACTAAAAAATACACCATATCTGCTGTCTTAGCCATCAAAACTTTATTTCGGAACTAGTCAAAAATACGTCATAACTTCCTCAAAAAACAAGGAAAAAAAATATATAAACCATTATTTACTGACGCAGAAATTGAATGTTAGTATTTTTTTACAATTTTTTTTCTTATATTTTTTTAAATGATCGAATCAAATGGTTAACTCGAAATTCTCTTTTTTTTTAGGTCTTTAAATAATACATGGCTTGTCTTTAGTTATTAAAACGTAAGTTTCTATTAAATGGGGTCGAAATATATAAATTCCCCCTTCTGTCAATGTCAAGTAACTGGAAAAAGTTTAAATTCTCTTTAGTTATTTATGATTGAGTTCTGTTTTTGACAGATAAGGAGGAACAGACTTTTCTTATAGTTAGTATATGGGTCATATTGGCCTTTTATATAAATTTTATTTTTTATAGGTTTTATGATTCCCCTCCTGCTTGGGAAAGACACTTGGTGTCTACGGTAGTGCATGGTTTTAATGGTAGCAGCAGTGACCATAAAGGTCCTGCTGCATTTTTACATTATATTATGATGCATACATGGTCTTGGCATAACCATACTATGCCAATAAAAATCTACTAAGGTGATCTTACGGGTATGGTGCATATGTCTAGTAGATAGCAGAAGCTCTATTTAAGACTGAGGGACTTGCCGGGACACTAATGCAGGTATAGCAAGGGGTGGTGGCAGGACCTCTGGGGACAGGACGTCTGACATTCACGTTTTTGTGTTGAAAACTTCGACCGCAACCTCGCTATTAGCACACCAAAAGTAAAACAAAACAAACTTTTATAGAGCTGCTCAGTCTAAGATGATTATTATTATAAAATTTAGATTAGAATGTGTATTAATAATAAATTAAATAAATAAAAATAAATTCCATATGAAGATTGCAATACTCACTCAGTATGCTTTTTGATTCTTTTGAATACAGTTGAGTATCTTTGTGTCCACAATTCTATATTTTAATTGTCTCTCAATCTTTTTGGTCAGCAAAAGCACTTTAAATTTGTTCAGACCTATATATGTTGCATATCATTTTCAATGGCTCAATGTGGGAATGACTCAAAAATCAAAAATGAGAAAAGTAACTTCTGATAGAACATATAACATGTCAAAATTGCAAAATTCACTATAAACTTTTAATAGTATTTTTGGTGGAAAATATCAGCAGCAGTTGCTAAGGCAAGTTAAAAGTCGAGTTTAAGGTCAAGCTCATTTGATTCTTAAATTCTTTTTACTTTTCTCCTTGATTTTAATACATTTATACAGCACAAATTTCAAATTAATAACAGACATTCACATACTATAACACTGATCTGAGTAATACATCGCTTTTGAATCATTTTTGACCAACTAAACTGTTCATGTAGCAAACAAGTTTCCTAGTCCATATTTAAAATATTAAATGTTGGTTTGCAGTACAATACACCTAAATAACTCAGTTATATTGTATTTTGATATGTATGTACAGTACAGTAATTGCTTTCAATACATATATACATAATTCCATTTTTCCATCTTCATCAAGTCTAATTTGATTCATCTCCATTATTGATAGCTGCTAAAGCAAGAATAATTTGTTGTATGTTTGTAAGAATACTTACAATAATCAAAATTTTTATGCTAATGTCAAATGCAAAATTCAGTTCATTTGTAATTTTCAATAACTGAAAATATGAAATAAATTATTGTAATCACTTAATCAAATTGGTATTTTTACAATTTGTTATAAACTGTAGTGGTTTGGTTTGCCCATAAGTTCAAGAATAATACAAAGATTTAAAATAAGCATTTTTTAGAAATATAAATAATGAAAAAGCCTTATTTTTATTAACAAAAAATCTGCTCTAATTTTAGATTTATATATTAACTATTTGTTTTTAAGAACTGCAAAATACAAGCAAAAATAAATTTTTGTTCTTGGATTTACAGTTATATAATTTTAAGATAGCACTGCATATTAACTTGTTTCTCTGAACTTCTTCATATTTATCATTATGATAAAATTTAATTATTCTAAAAACTACTTTCAATGGATAGTAGTTTATTTTGAAATCATTATAAGCATCATACATCTATATATATATAAAAATGGACATGTATGTCCCTATATTTCACTTTTTTGCCAAAACTACACATCACACGTGAATGGTGTTTGTATGTAGTAATAGCCCCAAGTCTCCATTCGTGCATAGGGGTGGTTGTGTCTCGATAGCTATAAGGGTGCGAGAGATATGAGGTTAAAAGTAGTTGAAAGTGGCTTTCTATTTTGAATGTTTTGTTCGAATTTAATTCGAACAATGTTCGAATTTGTTTGAATTAAATTCAAACATAA